AGAGGAAAGTACATTTTGGAGGGAAATTTTTTTTGACGGCACTTCTGTTTATATATATATATAGATTAAGGTCATTTTCTGAAATTACCTCCTCTACTTGAAATTCAACTAGTCTAATTAGAATAAGTGTAACTAGTGTGGGAAGATCATGGTAAACGCGCATTCAGACTTGTTTTGTGCCTCTAAACATGCCATGTTCTTGCGTCTGTAAACATCTAATTTACATATACTCTTGTATTGAAACATCTACATATTGTTGAATGTGATAAATTACCCATGCATGTAAGATTAAGAGTTGGAATTACATGTTCCTGTAGTTCTTTAATCCAGAAGCTTTTATGTTTCACTAAAGATGATTTATAGTCTGTAGTAGTTGAGATATTTGACGTGTAATTGTTTTTTCTGCAGTATGCAACTGGATTTGGTGTTGCAACGCTTGTTGAATGGGAGCTAAACAACTCTTCTTAGTTTCAGTTTCCACAGTTCTCTTAGTCAGCAATACCTGAAATATGATCCAGGATAATATAGAAAAATCCTGGGGTGTGTGGAAATAAATGAATAAAGTTGGTTCTGGAATAAAATGAGGCCATTGCTTGTTCTTGGCTTCTTAAATATTCTTCTTTTATCTTTGAGTTGTCCTTAGAGGTGAAAATAAACGACGTGATAAAACATGAAATCTAAATTTTGTGCTGGTTGGAGTCTCTTGTTTTGGGATGCCATACGGCCGTGCAAATTTAGTATGGTATAGCACGAAGCAAGAAACAAACAGGCCAGTTTAAAGTAAAGATTCGAAGAGCCTTTCTGTTGTGATGAGCTAAAACACAAGTGTCTGAGAGCTAATCCTGTTCACTGTCCATCCATCATACCTAACATTTCGATGACTGATGGCTGATGACTATGATGGTTGATGACTTTCAAATTGACGGTAATGGTGGGAGCGGAGGAGACGATTGTAGTGGAATGCCCATCAGCCATCAATGGACCACTGTGTCAAGTTTCATGTTATTGGCTAGCATCATCCCGATTCATCCATATTCAGTACAGCATTTAAAATTGAATTTTTATCCCTACACATATGAGACCCTCTTTGCAGTTGGTTAGAAAATATAGGCATGTTAATGGCGAGTTTCATATTCAGTACAAACTAATCTACCCAATGGTTAGTGGACAAAGAAGGTGAATTGACAGGTGAGGCATTGTATCTGGGTGGGGAAACACAGTGAAGTTAGCTCCAGCCTTTTAAGTATTGGATTTGAAATCAAGCCTTGCTGAAATCAAATTAAATGGGGCTTTGTTTGCACAACTGGAAGAGTCCAATTAAACTCATCTGACTTGTTTTCTTCCTCTTTTCCTTATATGTCAACTTAAATGTTGCTGTACTTTAGTTTATAAATAATGTCTTTAATTCTGTATGCTGTTGTGGATAAAATGGAACATTGAGTTTTGGTGTTCCTTATAACTCTTATTCTGTGCATATAAGGCATTTTATTAATCTAAAGAATTGGCTTGTGACCTGGCTTCTTAATTTTAACATTCT